CGGATTTGAGAGTTTTGTTAAGTGGTTGTTGATTGTGAAAGGGTGTAAGTGGTTTCCTCCTTTGTGTCTTTGGTTTGGATCAGGTGGATTGGTATCTTTTGTTGCCGGGTTGTTTCGGGATTCTGGGCCGGGGAGGAGAGGAGGAGGGTGTGCTATGTACGCGAAGGTCGATCGTCTTCCGGGAGAGAGGAGATAGGTTGTGTTGGTGAGGGGGCTTTGTAGGATTGTCAAGGTCGTTTGATTATTGTGGTGGAAAGAGATGAGTTCTTTGTTATCTTTTGGCTTTGGAGGTCGCGAAGGTTCTGTGGTGAAGATGGTGGAGTGTATATAAGAGGGTGACCGAATAAACTTGTCTTTAGCTGTGTTAGAGACGTATCCTTGACTGTTCCTTTTTCTTCTACTTTGAAACTTCCTCTTTTCCTGCCTCAGTCTCAGGCTAACATCAGAATGTCTCAACTGAGACTGGCGGAAAGAAAGCAATGGCAAAGCAAGCGCACAAACTGAGAGAAACTGAAACCATGTCTCAAGACGCTCGCGCGCCCCAGCCTTTGCAATCCCTTACAAAAATGATCAATAAGTTTTAAAAAAATGATCAATGGGTTTTAATTGACTTTCTACTGTGTTCCTATAGAGTCAATTGAAACTCAATATAAACTCAATGTCTAATGAGTTTGATCATTAGAAACTCAATTTTGATTCTATTGAATTTACTCATTAAGAATGCAATTGAGACTGATCATAAGAAATTCAATATGAATTGTATTGACTTTACTCACTAGGAATGCAATTGAGTTTGATCATTAGAAACTCAATATCAATTCTAATGATTCTACTCATTAAGGATGCAATAGAGGTTTATGATAAGAACGTCGATATCGATTCTATTGAATGTACTCATTAGGAATGCAATTGAGTTTGGTCATTAAGAACTCAATATCGATTCAATTGAATTTACTCATTAGGAAGGCAATTGAGTTTGGTCATAAGAAACTCAATATTGATCCTATTGAATTTACTCATTAGGAATGCAATTGAGTTTGGTCATAAGAAAGTCAATATCGATCCTATTGAATTTACTCATTGCGAATGCAATTGAGTTTGGTCGTTTGTGGATTACTGCACCCGTGTGCACCGAACGATTATTGCTGGTAACAATGTTTTTCTATTAAGGGATAGAGTCCAATGACGTCGAAACACTGTTTATCATTTATGAGACTTCCAAGGAGGAAATAGCAAACTGGGAACCTTAATAGATGCTGAGGTGGTCACCGGCCAAATGAATACCTTTCTTATGTAGGGTATATAAGGCGGTGGGGTAGTCAAGGGGAGTACGTTTAGTGGGTTGTGAGTGCTTAGTTAAGATGCTTGTGTTCGTTTCCTCTATGTGCTTTGTTTCGTTCATGTTGCATGCTTTAAAGAATTATACAAAAAATTCTAAACCAGAGCAATTTTTTTAAACGCAGTTGCAATAAATTCTATTGAAGCACGTTGCAAAAATTCAATGGAATGTCAATTGCGATATTTTTATTAAAACTCAATAGCAAAAGTTCTATTGATACACTATTGCCAAAAGTCCATTGAAATGCAATTGCTAAAAATTCAGTTAAGACTCCGTGGCCAATACCCTGGAACAGATCGATAGTGACTCAATAGAAAAAGTCAATTAAGTTTCAATTGAGACTGAATGCGGTCTATTGAGTGAGTGCTTTACACTTTCAATTGAAAGTCAATTCATTTTTTGTAAGGGATGTTATCTTTCACCCAGTCTCAGCTGAGACGCTGTTCTAGCAAACCGGCCCTGATGTATCAGATGTAGATAAAATCTTTAGCCAGTTCAGTACGACCGCTAGCATTGTGGCTCTTAACACGTGCATCGCACAGTAGTGATACAGGACCGCACGCCGTAATACAATGCTCATCTAGGTCGGTACGTCCAGGGGTGTGGATTGAACGCAGGATCTCTGGGTTACGCAGCGCGAACTCCCGCTCCACGTGCACCGAGCTGTGGTGCGCTAATACCAACTAAACTCATTTTCACCTTAAGAACCGAAGTAAAACAAGTCCGGCTGGTGGCGGAGTGTTCTGGGTTTCCACCAATGAAATGCCGCGATATCGCGTAGACATACCACTCTCCGTCGGGAGGTGGTGGGATCTAGAGCACTGCACGGGCCGGAATTTTTAGGCCCGGCCCAACCCGGCCCGGTAGAGACACGGCCCGGGCCCGGCCCGAGCCCGACAGAATTTTTAATTTCTAGGCCCGGCCCGACCCGGCCCGGAAGAGACACGGCCCGGGCCCGGCCCGAGCCCGACAGAATTTTTAATTTCTAGGCTCCGCCCGAACCGGCCCGATGGCTGTAGCCCGAAACAACCCATTCCCGTTTGAACCCGTCCCGTTTCGACCGGTCCCCGAAACGAGCTCCCCATTTGAACCCGTCCTGTTTCGACCCATTTTTTAAACGCCCTTCCCATATGAACCCGTCCCGTTTCGACCAGTTCCCTAAACGCCCTTCTCGTTTGAATTTGTTCTGTTTCGACCCATTCCCTAAACGCCCTTCTTATTTGAACCAGTTTCCGAAACACCCTTTGCGTTTGAACGCGTCCCGTTTCAACCTTCTTTTATAAAGCCGTGCACATCGCAACCTCTTCGCAAAAAGTCTCCATCGTTCTAAGCCTGGTCTGCGCACCTTTTCTGTTTAAGAATATGCTCTGAAGTAGCTTTACATGTCAACGCGTTCTTAAAATACACAATCCTTTCAGGCAAGCTTAAGTTTAATATATTCCTACTTAACCCCTTAAAACGTTTTTTTTTTTTCAAGATGGTTCCTAAAACGTGCAAGCGCGGAACGGACTATGTACACTGCGCGACACTGATACCGCGAACACGACGTTGGCTCTTTTTTCGAATTTTACTTCGAAATGGTGTTAGTAGGCACCAAAGTATACCGCTTAGGTCTGTGGCCTAGATGAGCACTTCTAAAGACACTAATAGTTTTGAAAACAGCGTTTTGATTCTATGAGATAAACATAAAAACACGACGATCGCTTGTTCGCGCTAATATAGTGTCGCGCTCTGTGCAATAAGGGAGTCTTAGAATAACGTACTCAAGCACTTTGGGCAAGCTAAAGTTAGCATCGCCATAGGTTTTACATCGCAACGCTATTTTTACGGTACCCAAAGCGCTTGCGTACGTTTTTCTAAATCTTCCTAATAGTGAACTAGATATTTTTGAGAGCGATGAATCAGACAGGTTGACAAGCATATGACTGGGACTTTATTTTGTTTACAATTTATAACACTGAACCCTCGCTCACACAGAAAACGCTTGAAGGCTTTCTAGCTTCAAGACGTCTTTTAGTTATTATTTTTAACGACGCTGTAGGGAATTTGCACTTCGCTTTTTTTTTTTTTGTTTTGTATTCAATGAATCTAAAAGATTAATGAGCAAACTTCTTGCTATCAACAACAATTTCTGATTTACGGCACAAGATTGCCCAGGCACGCCGGCGAGGCCCGATAACTTTTTTGTTGAAGCCCGAGCCCGGCCCGGGCCCGAGAAAATACGTGCTACCCGGCCCGAGCCCGGCCCGAGGGCCGGGCCGGGCTCGGGCTTTCGGGCTGGCCCGGGCCCGTGCAGTGCTCTAGTGGGATCTACAATTAGAGAACGAAACCAAAACGAATTTAGCACTGCAGCATCCTGTGCGGCAAAAAGGTAGAACATATCTCGTTAAATAGCGTTTGTTTCTGATAAACATGCTTATGTTCTGCACAATTTTGCATCGCTTCTTTAAGCTGTCTTCAATAAACATATTTTTGTATATCTAACATTGTTTATACCGTCGGCTTTCTAAAGCCATCATGAGAAAAAAAAATCAATGTGTGCCAGTTTTAGCGTATTTACAGTTTTGAACGGCAACCATGGAGCGCTAAAGCAAAAAAAAACATCGCCGCAAACTTGATGAACTGGGATTGATCAGACCTACTGCCAGCCACTAACCTATGTTTGCATAGTTTATTCTGTCCTAATAGACCTTTGTTTACGTTATTTCGTTGACGCTCATGTGTATATATTGAGTGGGCAGTCGGTTTCCTTGTGTGTCGCGGTGAATTTCAATTTTTATTCTTTAATTCTGTTTTCTTAAGTGCCGTGGTGTGGGGATGGTGGAACAAATCCTGATTATAAGCAGAAACAGCGTGGTTGATGTGAGATACGTTCTTCCAGGATCCTATCAAAGCTTCTGCTTGTTGCCCGAGTGGCCCTGTGTGAGGATGGCGATAAGAATCCCTATTATAATCTGAAACAGCATGGCGGATGAGAGATACGTTTATTGCCAGAGCGACCCCAAGACATGTGGATGGCAGTTTGTGAGTTTACTTTTCCACAAACCGCCTGGGGAACTGATCACTGCAAATAACAGAGCTATCTCAATGAAAGACTAGGCTGAACGTGACGTTTAGACCTCAAAATGAGGTGTAGGCGACACTGAATTTGCATGAGGTGAGCAAGTGAAATGTTACGCTCAGGGTCACATTCCAGAACAATGGTCCACTTTCGGCATGCCGCCAACACTACGTCTTCTTTCTTGAATGAAAACGACCCTTAAAGTGTAATTGTATGCATATATGTTTAGAAAGCAAAAAGGCAAAATGGCGCCTGACACCTCTGCTGTAGATTGCAAATTAGTGAGTGCAGTACGACTGCAAACTTTTTTTTTTTTTTAGGGTGAATCTTTGTACTGGTTATCCACGGTGCAGTGGGATACATACAGCTGATTTCAAAGACCTCGAGAAGCCATGAACAAGGCTATTAAGTAATTAAAGGTAGAATCACGACAACAACATGACACTGGAGGTTAGGCGTGTATGAAGTTGGGAATCCGATTTTGCAGTATGTAAATGGTCTTTAAAAGGACCGCTCTGTGTTCTGGGGTATGACAAACAGAGTCCAAAGTTCTAGCCACTTTCAGAAGAGAACATATCCTAGGGGGACATTAGTTCACGGTCAATTCCATTCTAAAGGCTGAACACCGAAGATCTCTTCACCCCCATCCTCGTCGTCAGCCTCGTCGTCGTCTCCACTCTCCTCCTCCGTGTCGCTTGCATCGAGGGGTATGATGACTGGCTCGAGGTTCAACTCTGGGACATCACATTCTCGAAACTTCGCCTCCATTTTTTTCACATGCTCTACACAGTCATGCCAATGGACAGCTGTTACGTTGTCCACTGCTTCCCTCAAGAGCCGCTCGGCGTCGTTGGGCTTGAATGTGATGTTCTTGGAGGCTACCTCCTGCTTGACTCGTGCCCATATCAACTCTATGGGATTTAGTTCGTAATGGTACGGAGGGAGCCTCAACACTGTGTGTCCGGCGTCCGTAGCCATGACGTCAACTTTGTACTTCGTGTAACGATCCTTTACCATTGCCAGGATGCTCAGAAAGTCTTTTTTCTTCATTGTGGCAGTCCAGTCTAAGTTCTTGGAAGAGAGCCACAGCTGGATCTCGCCCTTCTTTGTTGCAGTTGTGGGAACTGCTTCAGCCTTTCTGCTGTGGTATGCCGCGTTGTCTATAACAATTACGCTGTTAGGCTCGATGTGGTCCAGCAGATGAAGAAACCATGCTTCAAACCTGTTTGAGTCCATTTCATCGTGGTAGTCCCCCTTTTTCTTCCCACGGAACACGTGACAATCACTCTTTCACCTTTTCCAGAAGGAACCTTTAGCCCGGTCGTCAGTCCAGACATGAAGGCTTGCCTTGCTGACTTTATGGTGCTGTCAGTCCACACTTTGTCAACTGTAAGGCCGGCGTTCACCCAAGTCTCGTCCTGGAAGTAGATCTTGCGGTTCTGGGCTCTGTGCTTTCCGATTGCCCTCAAATACCGCCGCCTCCACTCGACGATGTCCTCTCTCTCAGTTAGGAAGGAGTTGCGATTCCGTTTTTCTTTCTCGAAACCCGTGTCCTTCAGCAGGCGATACAGGGTAGACCCGGTACAAGACGGCAGCACGTCGTCTTCTTGGAGACGAGCGGCGATTTTCTTAACATTGGAATCTCCCCCCGATGGAAGAAATTGTGCAGGCAGCTTCTCACGGCCATCAAAGTGCACACGTCGTGTTTTGAAATCCTCTTCCTTTTCTCAGCGAATTTCGGGCACTAATTTGAAGGAGATTTCACAGCTCCGTTGGCACGTTTTAAGCCACGCTTGATCTCGTAGACCAAGCTAACACTGATCCCCGTTGCGGCGGCAGTCAGGTTGACGACTTCCACCACATTTTTTTCTTGGTACTGCCGCCGCATTTAAGAATAAACGTTCAAAACACACTGCCTTGTCTGGCTCGACAGAACATTTCTACTTGCGTGAAGTTTGTAGTACACCCGAGGGGAAACGTATTCAGGGAAGAGTGCTGACATCACGGACCGATCAGCCAAAGTTGTTGGAGTCGCCATTTTGGAAGGCGAGCAACAGCGGCTGACCGGCTGGCTACGAACATCGATCCTCAGATCTTGTGAGGCGTTGAATTACGTGAATACACGCGTACTAAGGAGGTGTATTATTTATCCTACTGAAAATAACAAATTTATTTAAGCTTAAATAACGCTAGCTTCCCAGGGAGCAAACGTTTATTGGAACTACTTCGCAGAACGGAATAATATGTGCGACGGCATGCGACCAATAAGCTTGCGACGAGAGGGACACACCCACTTTTTTCTTAAGGTGAAAACGAGTATAGAGCCATTAAATTAGCTGCACTTAGAGTATCGGCACTCCGTTTCTCGACATCGTTATGGGCGCCGCCATTTTGGTGCTTGTGCAGAGCAGACGCAACTGCCGATCGTCACGATTCAAAAATGCGACTTCCTCAGCATCTGATTCGGTGTTAGGGAGCTCATGTAATATCGCTTCGCTTCATCGAAAACTGTTTAAACATTTCTGGAGGACAGAAAAGCGTTTTCCGTGATATCAGATAAAGCTTCAGATAACTGGCAACCATGGTTTTAAGCCACAATATTGCCAAGTTTCATTAGTCTGAAGCGTAGCTTATTTTGTGGCACTAATACCAACGTTACTAGAACAACTTAGTTGGGAAACTGCCATAGAGCCTGCTTTGAAAAGGTGGCTTCGATCCGACCTCGAGAACCGAACCAATGGCGATCGCAATGCCCCCATTTCTCCTGCAGCGGCCAATCCGGAAACAGCGCGTCTCCACGTGTCGGGTCAAGTCGAGTCACGCGAGGGCCGGTGGCGCCATCTCGCACTGCCATTTCGCAGTAGCAATGGAAACTAAATTTATTGCTTTCAATTTTTTTCAAATTGATCAAATTTTCAAATTTATTGCTTTCAACCGAACCAGCCCACCCTTTCACGCCGCTTCATGCTAACCTGAAGCGGTTCATTGCAACAAAAAAAAGAAGAAAAGAAAACATATTTTGAGTTTTTTTTATGAAACATCGCGTGTTGATGAAACGATCTGTCTATGAAATGTAGTTCGATGAACTGATTGCACCGCCAATGAGGGGCGACTAGTGGTAGAATTTTGGCGAAACAATTCTGTCAGCTGCCGGGAGACTGGACACTACCCAAGAATTACCCCGGTTGTTGCTTGCTTTGCAGTCTTTTTAATTGTATCACAGCTGAGTAGTACCTCTTCACATATTACGAATTGCTGAGATTGTGCTTGTCTACAAAATAAGCTGTGTGTAATAAACTGTTAGGAGATTTCAAAACAATCCCTTGTGTCTGTTTACCTTCCTTTTTGCAAACAACTTGGCGAGGGCACTTGCAAAGAGCTGGGCGATTCCAACGATGGCCAAAAATCAGCATGACGGCCAACATTGGATCGGGTCGCGCTTCCAGTGTTGTCCAATATTACGCCGGTCTTCGCCAATGTGGGAGCACCTTGGCTGGAACCATGGTTTAGCGATGGCCCAACATTGGCACCAATGATGGGGCCGACATCGGCTGGAACGATGGCTGAACATTGGCCCAACATTGGCACCGATCACTGGGCCCACATAGGAAAGGGTAGCGCTTCCAATATTGAGGCCGGTCTTTGCCAATGTTGGACCGACATTGGTGTGCTGCCTGGGGACTATCGCAGTAAACAAGCGTTTGCGCAAGGCGGGAATCGAACCCAGACCATGTAGATGGTCTACACAACACATATTTCTTCTTCAGTTTTTATTGCCACAATCATTTTAGTGCACAAAAAACTCGCGCAGGCAAACATGTTTTCAACACACCAGCCGAGCTATGGCCAATGCTGATTGATTAAAGTGATCTTAACGTGACCAGCCCGTCGAGGACTGGTTACCAATCCAGGACGTCCCCTAGCACCTGATACACACTCGAATGTTTATGACTCTCTGAGACAAGAAGCGGCACTCACGTTGTACCTCTACATCGCGTCGCATTGACGTGCGGCTCTTCCAGACACTGTGTGCACATCGTCGTGCGTTGAGGTGCTATCTGGGGGAGAACCCTGCGGGGGCATCCGCTCTGAGTCCGGCAGACAGCAACTTGACACGCTGTCGCACGGCTTTGAAACCTGGGTTAGCGCCGGTATCTACATTCCAGGAATTGCTATCGAGTGTACACGCCACATGTTAAAGGGACCATGAAATTACCTTTTTACTTTTGCCAAATAACTTTTATGTTTAACCTTCATGTGCACTGAACGCCGAACAGGCATCCGTTTTCGTTTCGGTTTATTAACTTCTACACGAAAAAATATTGAAATATCGAGTTTTTCTTCCTGTCCAACTCGCCGAAAAACACCCCGCGGCGTAATTTTGACAGTCGTGACGTGCGCTGTCACCGGAACCGAAAGTTCTTTCGGCAGTAGGAGAATGGGAGCGTTAGCGGCGAGCTGGCGGTGTGCCGGTAGGTTTTATCACAGGGTTTTACTGCGCTGATGGCGCCGATGCCACCGATATATTTTCTGAACCGGCGCCTCTCACCACCGCGATAGCCATAGACACATCGCAGCTGAGCGAAATTCAGTTGGATATGTTGCGCTACAGCGATAGCATGGGACTGGTCCCTTACGCCGGTACGAAGCGCAGCAAGACATCAGCACGACAGCGGTTTCCGCAGCACCTCTAAAAAAAGGGGACGCGCTGTCACTCACTGGCGTAGCAGAGGATGCACAGAGTTTTCTAAAGGCTCAAGCTTTGTTCACTTTTATTTTGCCAGGATAGGCTGGCAGGGCAGAGTGGATGAAAAAAAGAAAAAGATACGGTACCCCGTCTTGCACGATCACGACTTTAAAGCACGACTTTACTGATAGTACAAATCTCGCCCCACGCCTTTTCTACGATTGCAAAAAAACAATTTAATATTAGATGAGATATATAGCAACGTAGAAATATGATTTCGTGATCACATAGACATTGCGATCGTTCAAGGAATACTAACACTAATCACTTTTCTTGGGTGATTAAAACGCGCCGAAATTCGCATCCTTCATACTCGCCTTTAAATACAGTACGCACCAGTAATATCTTGCACCTGATCACACGCATGGAATGCGTGAAATAAGAAATCCGGGCGATGTTCGAGAAGAAAAATGCTAAGAAAGCACCACTGTAGTCGAAGTAAACAAAGGCGACGGTACAAGCGTTTCTGCTGTCTTGAAAGCGCCGCCACAGCATCACCGCACGAGTACATGAATCGTCGCTTCTATAGGACGTGTAGGGGCAACACGAGACGAAAATTCAGTCAAGGATAGCGCTCTACGCGGAACGATGAGCTTCCACTACGCCGACCACGTCGATCATCGCCACCGACGCGATGTTTTTCAGCTGACAGGCGGCTATCCGCAGGCGCAGAGGCTGATCTTTCTCTTGCTTCGTTTATTACACGATAGATGGCGCATAACTCCGAGCAAGCATAATGAAATTCGGCAATTTCCGTCATATCACTAATTATTGAACAAAATGTTGAATGTTTTATTAGGGCGTATACCAGCAAAACTCTCTGTTAGAGAGTTTTAGTAGATCGTGTTTTTGGGCCACGCTACTTGTAGCGGGAGCTCGCGCTCCCTCTTCGATGCATGCTCCGAAGCGCGCTCCTGTAGAGGTAGCGGGCCTTTAAAAACGATCTACTAAAACTCCCTAACGCTAACGAGACTACACAGCGCTTGCGTTCTCTAGTATGCAACATAATAAAACCCACTACTCTTTCAGCAGTTTTACAACCCCAACGAAATGTGCTGGAATGAGCAGACCTAGCGAGTAGGCGTTCCATCGAAGTGGAGAGCCTGAGATTGGTTAAACGACGACATTCGAAAATTAAAGGAACAAAATGTTCTAAAAAAAAGGTGTAAAAAATATATACATATAATCTCTACTTTTTTCGGGGGGGGGGGGGGGGGGGGGGAGGGGGGCATTTGGCCTGGAAGGATTGGCGGCGACCTTTGAAGTTTTGCCGATTGTCAAAAGTCGCGACTTTTAGAGCACCATGTGCTTTACCCAGAATTAAAGTAATTTTACGGGCATTTCTTCAATTTGCTAGAATGTTTTCATTGATCTTAAACCATTGTTATGTCATAACTTGCTAATTAGAAATGCTGCAGTTCGCACCTGTGATGATGATTTTCACACTTTTGATCGCCATAGTTCTTCTCGCATTTGAAATTAGAGCACGAGCAACACATTATATTAGAGCTTTAAACACTACGTATTAAAGCAACTTAACTGTTATCTTTATTAATACTAATTCCTGCAATCTAAGCCCCAATAAACGCCACGATCACTAAACTACGCCATTTAACTATCATAGTCTTTCCAGAAAGGTCTAGTTTTGGTTTCTTTTTAGCGTATGACATTGTTATCAAGATGAACAAACAGTCAAAGACTGGATGTGATATAAAGTCCGATGCGTCACGCGTTGCTTTAAAACACACACGCACGTGCTAATTCCATCGGACTCGGATTCCGTCTTTGGGTATTTGTAGTGAGAACATCATTTCTTAATTTATTCGTTTTTTTAAAACATATTCTAAGCTTATCACTCGTGCCGATAGTTTGTAAAATTTTCATTCATTTTGTTATTCCTGTGCTTGGGAATAACGTTAAAGCAATGAATCATCTAAATATGCCCAAACCCATTAAAAGTCCCGCAGTTCATTATTTCACATGGCAATTATGTAAGCGATAAAAGGCAGCAAGAACACACAAATATCAGCACTAATTTTTTTCGACAAATACGATATTCTGTGTTACCTCTAAGGTGTATGAAAGAACCTGTCTTTAAAGTCGGGATCACACCTATACAAAAAACAGTTTGAATACAGATTCAAACGGGAGTCACCTCGAGATTCATGCTTCGAATGCCGCATGGCAATGAGTTCAAGGAGAAACTTGGCACGCGGCATTCGAACCAACGATATTGCAGTGACTCGTGTTTGCAGACTGTCTTTTGTGTGATGTATGGGCAGTGTGACCTA